ATGCCGACTACGATGCCGGCGAAACGTTTGGGAATGTAACACGTCCACGGTTCAACTTTGGAAATGATCAAGCAGACAATGGACTCGGGACTAGGTACGTTCTTCTAAGTCTTTCTACCAATATGACCATGTTGCGAAAACAAAGTCAAACAACCTCTAAGAAATTCCTACCCAACTTTCTACCTCCGTTCCTCACATTCAACGTATTTCCTAAACTATTAATTTCAATATCCTCTCTTATCTTTTTTTCAAACACAGGCGTATCCTAATCAGCAAACCTACTAGTTTGAGACCATTATATTTCATGTCTAGGTTCTACCATGTGTTTGGCCACTTCAAACCGTTGGATCCAGCTACCTTTGCATGCATTTTTCTGTTCTACCAATCTTTGTCGAATAGATCGGCATGTATCACCAACATAACATCCACCACATGAACAGACAATCTTGTAGCAGTACAACGAGATTCATCCATCCTCATCTGGTGAGATCGACCAACGAATCTATTCTTCATGAACTTTCATCCGAAATGAAGTGCTCCTAATAATTAATCTTATATATCACAGTCAAGTAATTATACTCCAATTTTTTTAATAATTCTTAAATGGATATTTATGTATTTTTAGGTTTTTTCTTGGTAAGATATTCCGGAAAGCTTCACTATTTATGTTAGTTATGATAACTTAAATCTTCGTGTGCAAAAAATCATATATGAAAGCAGTGAAGGATACTTTTTATTAGCACATCTTTCCTTTACTTTACAAAGAATCTATGAGAGATTTGTAAATTGGCCTCACCAAGTAAAGGATTAAATTGGTCTCGGTGCCGTGACTATTTGATTGTGTGAAGAAGTTTTGGGCACTTAATCCTGCGACGCATATTAACCTGTGCTGAGGTTCTGTTCCTCATATCATAAGCATAGTCATAGCCAGAAACCAGTTTGTAAGAACACTGATTCAGTTGAAATCTTACATGTTTCCTATACCTAATATTGCAAAACAAATTATCTATATGACGATTTGCTTGGCTCCTTTAAGCTTAATTTAATTGCCAATTGATGGGCAAGTAATTATTTCTACTCTATCAATTGCTCACATATCTTAACAACTATATAAGAATCCTTTATAAATACTGCCAAAGTCTGGGGCATTATTTTACTTAACTGAAAACGAACGATGATGCGATATTAATCATTCAACCCTTATTTTGCACAATAAGGCTACTTATTTGAAATTTTTAGACGAAAAATACATTCGGATGCCTATCATCTATACTTATCTTTCTTTCCTCGCTCACTGTAGTCGTGCAAGCAAACATTGATCTAGCGTGCAAGTTTTTCGTAGGTTCCATGAGAGATAAAAACTGTGAGCACTTTGATAAGTCTACATTTTGAAAGGCAAGATTAAATGAACTTTAAATGCTATAAGTTCTAAGTCACTTTATAGAAACCAGGGGTACTCTAGCTCTAATTGACGATCTAGTGGCAGTCTAGGAAGTTATTAAATAGGAAAGCAACTCTTAGACTTTCTTGTCCCGAGTCTTATTAATAAAGATTTCATTATAAGTTTAATTTTTATGATACGTGGAGGATTTATAATAACACTGGAGATTTTTTGTGGGATCATTAAAACGTTCTAACCATGTCACTAGTTCCTTGCTGTATTTCAATGACTAGGTAACGATAAATTCAAACCCCGAAATAGAAACTTGATAATATTGTTTCGTATAATTGTGGTATTTCGGGAGATAGACTGCCTACTATTTGTGCGTCTTATCGTAAGGTTTTCAGCTTTGTTCTTTAATCCAACGCATTATTCGTCTTAAGAATCGAATATTTTTTACCTGTCTAAAAATTTAAAAGAGTAGTTCTCTAGTCTGAAAATTCCTTCGAAATAACATTGTTTTACAGGACTGTATTGACCATAAAGTTGATTTTTGTTGATTCATTTGTTTTTAATGTTATCCCAAGGTATACACATTAACCAATCGTGAGATACTTTCGGAATATACCTCTTGATACGATTTGGCAAATTTCACGTAGTAAGAATGCATAAGTTAGGAATGGCCAAAACGATACAGAGCACTAATTTTCATAAATTTGCAGTAAAAGCTTTAGGGTAATCCTACTTCGGCCTCTAGTAAAGCCAATTAATCAATTCCTTTACGATAATATTAATTTATTGGGGGATTTTTAAGCCAGGTCTTAATATTATTTATTTATATCCCATTCCTTACTGTAATGGAAACTTATATTTTTGAATAAGATTAGTGGTCATATGACCAAATAATTTCATACCACCGAACTTTAAGATAAAGTCTGCATTTTAATATACCATAAGAAGCAAAATCAGTATGACAATCTACTAAGTGTTATATAAAAGTCAGCTTCCTAACTAGTATTTGTGAAAGCTCTTCATATATATACTAGTTCAATGAAAGGTCATACTATATAAGCATTATGGTCGAGCCTACTCTGTGGTTTGAGTGCTTATTTCGACTTTGGTTTATTGTATGTATTCATTAAACCAGTAATACTTTTGGCAGTGCATGAGGAGGAGCAATCGGGATGCCTATTTCTAATGGCTTCAACAAAAGATCTCAATTAGAATGAAGCATCCTAGTTGAAGAGAGAAATGTTTATTAATATTCCTTTTAGCCTTATTTTTTTATTTTGCGCATTTAAAATTAGAATGTATGCTGAGAGCCTAAATGACCTTTAATAATCTTTGAACTGCTCCGTTTAATTTGCCGCATCTTATGGGATGTATCTGCTTTTGGGTTTGCGTTCCACGTGCCGTCTTCCTCACTACCTACACAGCAGAGCATTGTAGTTTGCTTTACTCATAATTTCTATAGTATTCATAAATTCGATGGCCCAAGTGGTTATGTATCTCCTCAGAGATGGATGCAGCAGAAAAACGTATCCGGTCCTCGAGAGCAACTATTATTTAAAGGAATGTCAGACATATCCATAAGCGAGAGTTATTTGGTAAAAAATAAAGTGATTGCAGCGGGCACTCCCATTGATGATGGGCTAGCTTATGATTTCTCCGATAAGGTAACACGCCATCACAATTCTTGCTATTCCAATTAATCTCTTTTTTCCTATTTGGTTTTATGTATTTTTGTTCTCCATTATTATTTCGGTTTTTAGTTTTCCCTTATCCCTAATTTGGATAACCGTTTGCTGCAAAATATATCACGGTGTGGCTACGACAGAATGACTTCAGTTCAATCCCATGCAATAGGCATCTTGTCTATTGATTCTGTTATTGATATTGCCTCTGGTAAAGAGCTTCAGGAAGAATCCTCTACCGAAGGGATTAACATCGCTCTTTCCGAGAATGCTCTTCTAGAACGTAAGCGCCTCGTGGGAAAATATGATATGATGACTGCCTCCCATACTGGCTCTGGCAAGACCCTGGCCTTTCTTACACCGATGTTAAATAGGCTGCTCAAAGCGTATCCAAATGAGTCTATGGAGGCCATTGTAAGCACAATTAAGCTATTTTCATTAAATTTATCTTCACCTACAACTTTTCTGACTAGAAAATAGGTCGATTTCAAGGACAGTATCCATTAGCGCTTATATTGGCCCCAACTCGAGAGTTAGTTCAGCAAACCTTTTCGCAAGTCATGAAGGTGAGCAAATAACCTGTTACTTATCTCAATCTTGTTGCCTTTACTTATTTCGTCTTTAATTTCTTAGCTCTGTTATTCTACATATGTTCGGCCATTAGCCGTATATGGCGGCGAGCCACCATATCGACAGGAGTCAGAGTTGGCCCGAGGCTGTCATTTACTTGTAGCTACTCCAGGAAGGCTACTTGACTATCTTGAGAGAGATTTAATGCGACTTACATTCTGCAGGTTAGTTCAAGATTCAGATCATCTCTGATTTCATTTAGTCATCCCTCTAATAGATTAATTTAACATTAAGCAGATTTATAGTTTAGAAACTTTACACTCAGTTTTTCGATTAATTAGCGTGCACTACCTTACTGTTACTTTTGCATACACGTGATAAGCTCATTGTACTCCATTTTATCTCCCTTTATTTTGTCAATTGGGCTTTATTTTAAATGTGATTCAAATTATATTTGATTTGCCGACTCAAACCGCGATTGCTAAGGTTAAATGTATTTATAGTACTAAATAAGCGTTATCTATTAAATGCCCGCACGGAATTGCATCAAGCCCTTTATAACTAATCCAAGAGATGCTATTACATACTTTCCCATTTATTTCTTACTTGGATTGACGATGATTGACGATGCTCCCAATGAGAAACGAACGCTAATGCAGTGCATATTTATTGTTTCTTATGATCTTTATATATATATACATTTTTAATAAATAGCTTGTTTTTAAAATTATTTTTCATTTGTTTTGACTAGACTAGACTACTATGTTTACAAACATTTCCACCTTTTTGGAAGCATTCAGTTCTTATGAACAAACACATCTCATTTAGATTTTTAAAAAATTGGTATCGTTTTTAGAACCCTGGTGATCGA